GAAAATTGAAAAAATCTGCGTTTTTGGTTAACGAATGAGAGTTTTGAGCTGAAGCTTCAACAGAGCATAGATATGATGATTAGCCATTGTATACTAGAATGAAACTATAATATTCGTAATCGCGACTGAGATATGAGGCCGAACGAGAAAATCACCAGCCAGAACCCTTATACTGACTACATCTAATTAATGGAGTTTCACCACCTAGTGATATGAAAAACACTAGTGAAAAACATATTTCCCGACTACTGCATATCACCGCGAATATCGCGTTTTTCACTGAGTTTTACGCCACTTCACGCAAAACGGGTTGTGAAACTCCAAAGTAATTACATCTATAGTATCGCCCGTATGAATAACAACCGAGCTGATAGCTACTCCAATTCGCAACTTTTTAACTACAACATAGTAACATCGGAAACTAATTGAACTTATTCGCCTCACAGGAAAGAACACACTCCCTGGTTTCATAGATTCGATATTCACTCGATGGTTTCTCACCTTACGTAGACAAGCCTGAGACTAAGAAGAAGAGATGTATTCGTCTTTGGCATTCCTAGGGTTTCAGCAAAACTCCAAAACACACTTGCTCAATTTCAAGAGCCTCGATTCATTCGGGCACTGCGTCAAATCTAAGCGAGATGCATAAAAACCAAAGAATATCAGCGCGCTTAATATTAATGGAAAGTAAAGGTTAATATCCTGGTGATGACAGTAACGCAAGTGAGAATCTAAACTGCAAATTCCAAAAAAAACAAGAACTGCAGGTGAAAGCGGAGAAAGGGAAACCCGAAACCCCACCCGAAACCCGACGGGAAACCAGAAACCCGAACTGTTATCCAAGGCCAGGCTGCAATCCAAGGCCAAGTCGAAATGCAGGCGAGAGCGTGCGCTGAACTTCTTCAGAAAAGAGGCTTATTCTTTAGAAATGAGGATCTCCCTCGATTCTGAATTCAACTGAGTAAGAGCCCATCTTGCTAAATCTTGCTATCTTGCATTTCCTCAACGCACGTTTCCGCGCAGACGGTCGCTGCACCTACGTGAAGAAATGAACATAATTGAAATCAGGTTATTGCTATCAGGCCTCTTAGTATGCTATTCCTCGTCAACAGATTTCTGAGTATTTTGCTTTACTCTTACTGGGTCGAAGCCGTTGAAATTTCTCATCAGGTAGGGTATATAATTCTTCATACCACATTTCTCGCGATTCGTGATGATTTCTCAGGGCTTTTTCGGTGATCTCTTCGGAGGTCTTTGGAGTGACAGTAAGAAAGTTGCCACCAAGGTTCTGCGTGAAGATTCGGGCAAATTCCGAGATGAGCTCGTTGACTCTGGAGATGCCCTCAAGAGTACTCTTCTAAGTAGGGATAGCAAATCTCTAGTTAGGACTACTTTTCTGAATCAGGGCATGGACGTAACGCAGTGGGATCGCTGGGAAGGGTAGGGCGTATCTTTGAATATCTTGAGGTCCAAATGTGACCATTATCAGGCTTTCAAGGATACATGGTCATCGGCGTTAGACAATGGCGAGGGTAAGAAAGTTTGTAATGTGATGATCACATTTACATGGGAAACTGATTGAAGAATGTGTTACTAGCCATACGTGGAAAATTCAAAATGAGTTCATCCCGAGAAACATTATAGGTTCCTGGATGATACTGTTGTTTTTTCTGAAATTATTTTCTGGGCTACTACGGTCACCGACCCATCCAGCTTTGAGAAATAACGTCACTCGAGGTTTGATAACAAAATGAAAATGAAGACGTTCCTAATGCGATGATGACATTTGCATGGGAAACTGATTGGAGAATATGTTCCTAGCCATACGTGGAAAATCAATCATAGTTTGGGTGCCTGATTTCTCTCCTCGGAATTGTTATATACGATATTTGGGAAATTCAGCGTACACAGAGCGCGGGCATTTTCAGTGTTAGAAAATTTCACACCTTTTCCCGAGCTACTTCTGTATGATCAAGAGGATGCAATTTGAAATTCCGTCACGCGCCACGAAATTATCGAGTCGAAGTGGAGTTTTCACAACCTTCCCAGGATTGAGCTTTGCATGAAATTGTCGAGAATTTGCTATTACGTCATTTCAGATTACCTAGATAATGCTGTTGAAGCGGGTAGAGGTAGTACATATCGCTCATCGTGGATGTGCATCCTAGTGCTCTCAGGTGTAGCGACTAATGCGGGTATGGGTATTGCTAGGGGGATGGCCAGGGCGAGGGACAGAGCAGGTGGGGTTAACTCGGTGGTGGAATATATGTTCGCTTTCTTCACCTGAGTTTGCGATTTTATGTATGCAAATTTGGTGAGAAGTGTCGAGAAATGCAGAAAAATTTCCAGAAATTTTCTCGAAATTTCGTGATTTCGCGGATTGACCATATGCATATTTTTCCACACAGCGCCAGAGGTAACCGATCACTGGAGTTTCACGACTCGTTTTACGTGAAGTGGCGTAAAACTCGGTGAAAACCTCGATATTCGCGGTGATATGCAGTAGTCGTAAAATATATTTTTCACTAGTGTTTTTGTTCATATCACTGGGGTGGTGAAGCTCCAGTAAAGCGGGCAGAATAGACAACGAAATCTCAATTTCTCATCCACAAATTACAAGGGCCGTATACAAGTACTATGATGTTTTCATATTCTACTTATTCGATACTCCAACGGTTATCAATACGGGGCAATAGACGGCATTTTGATAGGAATGAATATAAATATATCATACCACACTTCCCCCGAATTCCATTCTCAGCTTCCACCAGTGAGCGCCTCCGAGAGCAAGCTGATAGACTTAATGCTATTCCTTCTACTATCGATATGATCCACAGAGGCGCTCGCAATAGCATACGTGCTGGCCTGAACACGAGGAGCCCCTGGAATGGCTATAATGTAGTTCAATAGGAAATTCGATGAGGGTAGATGCTGTTGTGATGGTAGGAGAATTACTTCCCGCGTTCACGCCGCTCGGCCGTCCATGATTTCTTTGGGGTGGGTGGTGAATGAAAACGTCACGCGCCACGAAATTGAGTATTTTAGGTGGATGATGATTTGTGGTAAAGATATCTCTCATGTGATCCTCCTGCTGCTGCTACTTGTCATGTTATGAACATTTCTAAGGTGTTTAGTTTTTAATGGTAGTCGTGGTTTACATGAGAGTGATTGGTAAGTCCTAACAAAATGTCAGTTGGTGTAAAGGTTTTAACTAACATGATATGAATCTTGGCCGGAAATTATGGAGCGCTCAAACATGTATGGGTTGCGCAGTTTGATCTCAATCAGCTGGTTTAGGATCATTTTTATTTTCAGATTTATTTTGCAGGCTAATACTCCTCTCCATTTTCGTTGGAATTTCCCCTTAAATGGCAGTAATATGATATAGTGATAATAGACTTGCTTAGAAAAAATAATGAAGTTTCACCGACTTTTTACGTGAAGTGGCGTGAAGCTGTGGAAAAAATATTTACTACTATACTACTAATATAGGATATAATACTATACTAGGATATTTGCCGTAAAACTGCTATGCAGTAGTCGTGAAATATATTTTCTGCTATTGTTTTTGATAAAATGGGTAAAATTCTAATATATTGTCTAGTATCAGCAATATTGGAGTTTCACCCGTTTCACGTGAAGTGGCGTAATACTCCATGTGAAAAATGCGATATGCAGTAGTCGTGAAATACATTTTTTACTAGTGTTTTTCACATCACTAAGGTGAAACTCCTATTATAAAACTATGTAAAGATTTAATATTAGTCTATGCGTGATCGTGATTATGGAAATCACTAACTCTGCGTATGACAATCGAGATAGGCAATTTTTCTTGGAGTGAGCGCACAAAAGGAGGCATGGGAGTAGCAATCACGCAGCTGAATAGATTAGCGTAATTTACGTATATGCTTTTAGTGAGGCCCCTTTTGAATGTTCTATACCATCACTTCAGCAATTCTCCACCTCCTGTTGCTCTTCCCTGTTGAGATCTCTGGAGTGGTATCGGAGACTAGCGAGGGAGGAGTTGTGCGATTTACGGTAGAGGCCTTGGGAGAAGGGGAGGTGGGTAGAGATGTGCGGGTGCTGGTGCCTGTTGGGAATCTTCAACGCAACGAACTTAGAGGATATATCAAAGAGGAATACAACTTATATCGAATAGAATGACTCAGCGAGACTAGGCTAAAAAGGCTTACTAGGATACGCTCACACGAAGATGGTCTTGGTCACACAATTGGAGACAAATAGAGAGAATCTAGCTACTGAACCTGGCAGTGCCGTGACAACGCAGACTTGTGAGATGTTATGCGCTTCTAGGAAGATGTCATTATAATTAAAGTCATCAAAATCAGAATATAAAAATGGTATTTTTCTTCCGAAAAATGTGGGTAAATTTCGGGAAAAAATTGATTGCGAAATTTTATGACGCGAAAAAAGGAGACGTGAATAGGAAGATCACCACAAGTGTTGTGATTAGTCATTTTTCAGAGCTTGTGGTTGGGTGGAAACAATTTCGAGTTGCTACTACGTTCAGGAAGATGAGGATAATTTTGTGGCGCGTGACGGAGTCGTCACTGTTGATATCATGTTATGCTTGTGCGTGGATGATAGTGTTTTGAGTTTGGCGAGAAGAATTATAGGTTTTATTATTTTATGCAACTCCTACAGCTTCAATTTTTCCCCTGACCGTCGCCTGGTAGTATGAAGCACATTCCTTTTGCTAGCGTTGAAGTGTTGTGTTGAGGAGTATTAACTAAGTGAAGGTTTGTTTGTGTAGTCTTCTATCGATGCCAGCCCCTGTGGCTAGTCGTGATAGTGTTAGAATTGGAGGCTTTTGTGGTTTCTGGGGAGACAGTCTTATTGCTGCCCCTCAGCTCGTGCAGAGAGGCCGTATCGAATACCTCATCGGAGACTATTTGGCTGAACTCACGATGTCATTACTATATGGTGCTAAGCAGCGTTCTGGTGGTAAACTAGGATATGCTACGGACTTCATAGAAGTGGTTAAGATGGTCGGTGGGGAGGCGAAAAATAGAGGGGTTAAGTTCATCACGAATGCGGGTGGACTCAATCCTAAGGCGTGTAAGGCGGCTATTGAGAAGGTGTATGAAGAGCGAGGATGGGGAGAAATTAAAGGTGGTAAAGTTGCATAAAATTTTGGCGCATTCTTGTGCTTGTAGTTGGTGTTGTGTACGGTGATGATGTATTAAAGGAAATTGGGGATTTGGTGGACCACGTGCCTCACCAGAAGAGCCTGACAACAGCAAACATGTATGGTAGTTGTGGATCTGGATTTTATATGGTGTTGAAATATATATTTGTTTTCCTCAGCCGAGCTCAGGAGTTTTCTAATAATATGAGGATTCATAGTAGAAGTGTACAAAAAGAAACAAGAATTTCCCGAAATTTTCTCACAGTTTTCCTGTTGTCATCACCACACGTATTTGAGCATATGCATATTTCCCCCCTACAAAACTGATCTTAGATATCTGGGAGCAGCCCCCATCGTGGAGTGCCTTGCTGGTGGAGCTGATATGGTCATCACTGGTCGTGTAGTTGACTCAGCACTTGTTCTCGCTCCGCTCATTTACGAGTGAATTTTTATCTATTATTTTCACCACATAAAGTGATGGTTATAGATTCGGTTGGTCTATGGAGGATCTCGACTTGATGGCTTCGGGCACGCTAGCTGGGCATGTGCTAGAGTGTGGAGCGCAGGCTACGGGAGGACTGATGACGGACTGCTTAGAGGCTGAAGTGGCTGAGGGATGGTATGGGATGGGGGAATATGCACATGGTCAAATGGTAAAATGGAAATTCTGAAGAATTTTCGGGAAATTCTCGTTGATTTTTGTACACTACTTGCTTGAATATTGTATAATGGAGTTTCACCACCCTAGTGATATGAAAAACACTAGTGAAAAATATATTTTACGACTACTGCATATCACCGCGAATATCGGGGTTTTCACCGAGTATTACGCCACTTCACGTAAAAAGGGTCGTGAAACTCCAGTATAATTAAGAAACTCCTCACGAATTCAGCTGAGGAGAGCAAACATATATTTCAACACTTTATAAAGATCCCTATCACCGTGTAGGTCGAATATTGGATATCCTATCGCCGAGGTATTGGCCAGTGGGGAGTTCCTCGTGTCGAAGCCTCCAGGAACAGGTGGCCGCGTTCTGGTAGGGCTCATCGTTGATTGGTGTTAATGGCCAGGCCTAGCTGTAGGTAGCTGGGGTTAAGGAACAAATACTGTATGAAATTGCAGATCCGGGAAACTACATTGTAAACTTTAACGAGTGAAAACGGCGAAAATGGTTTGAGACTAGGTTCCTGATGTCGTTTGTGATTTTACTCAAGTGAAAGTGGACCAGGTTGGAGACAACGCTGTGAGAGTCGCCAATGCTAGGGGAAAGTGCCCGACGGAAACTTACAAGGTTTGCGGTATGTTTGCTCTCCTGTGTGCTGTCGCAGTGAGTTCTGTAAGGAACTTATATGGACGGCTATAAGGTGGTCACTAGTCTAGTAGTAAGAGGAAAGGACGCTGAAGTGAAGGCTCGGAAGACTGCGGAGGCGATCATAAAGCGTAGGCAAGGGAGTATATGCGCATGGTGAACTACATGTGCTGGAAATTCTGAGAAAATTCTGGGAATTTATTGTTGGTTTTTGTACATTCCCGCCCAACATCGTGTGTGGACGGTTGCCGCGTTACAAGCCTAGTATGTATTATATCAAATTTTATAGTATAGTTAGGAAACTTACGAGCGCAGTTGAGAAAAGCAAAGATATATTCCTAAATTGGCTTGGGATGTTGTAGGAGTCGAGAAGCATTTCGGGATCACATTGGAAGAGTCGAGAATCGAGACCATAAGCAGCGACTTTGAGGTGGGTAGTGAGTTGAGGAAGGTGTGGTAGTAGTGTGGGGGAAAATATTATGCACATGGTCAACTACATGTATTGGTGATGACAATATGGAATTTTGAGGAAATTTCCTATTGGTTTCTACCCGATTTTGCACGAAGAATGTGCACGTGGTTAACTACATGTGCTGGTGATGACAATACTCTGAGTAAATTTGGAGAGTTTCCCAAATGCGTTTCTACTTGAATTTATATGTGAGCTTTGATCATTAGAAGAGGAACTTCTAGAGGAAAGCGATTATATTTTCCCACATCTGTAGGCGATGGTAAGGCTAGCGGCCAAGCATGAGGATAAGAAGGTGCTGCAGTTGTTGTCGAATGAATTGAGCAGTGCGGCCACGTCAATGGCTCCGGGTATGAAATCATGGGTGGGGGAGAGGTTTCGAACTGGGGTTTATATATGATTAAATATTTTTAAGACATACCGTAATTGTATGTAATAATTATTTTCTTTATATTCTCATAGTGCTAGTTTTATCATTGCGGTTAGGAGCAGATCTCCGCAACGAAGGGGCGAACCGCGTTTGTTGATTCAATCGATGTATTTGACATAAGTCCCCGGTTCGATCCCCGGATTGGATATTTTTCCGTCAAAAAAAGTTTCGGGCATAGTGCCTGTTGTTGCGGTACATGCTCATTACATGAGATAATATACCTATAATTATATATTATATAAACGAATATTAATAGTGTGGATATGGGTGTGGGGTTCGAACCTGGGACCTCGCGGTATATAGTAGCGCGTTTTACCATTAGGCTATTAATGCTTCCATAACGTTGATTGGTTGAGGTACTATCGGATTCAGTAGTGGTCGAGCTCGACCTCACGCCATCATCCGTATGGTCCCTATGCTAGTCGCCAAGAGCAAGATCCGAGCCAAGATTCAAATTGGTAGTAGCAGCAGCACCACGGTTATTACCCCCTTCTGTAGACTCTCCATCCTTCTTCTTGTCAGGGCGAGGACCAGAGAGGCAACTAGAGCCATCGGTGGGCCCTGTTAACATCCATTGGCCTCATCCCACTCAGCGAGTGCTTGCCGTACAAGCTGTAGACCCTCATGATTTTTCCCCATGTGAAACGGTACCTACTTTGTATCTTGTCGTGAGGAACCTTGGATATTTCGACGTGTCAGGTTCCTCTACTGCGCGTGTGTTACGCTCGGTCTGGGGACAAGGGCAACAACGTTAATATTGGCCTATTTGCTCGGAATGAGAGGTGGGGGGACTTGCCGTTTTAGGGGATGTACCCTATACGTTGTTCACGGAAAGACAATGCGACCATATTTATATCTTGTTCTCGCGCAGTACCGCTTCGACCAGGCGAGTAATAGCCAATATAGATTTATATCAGCAACATCGAATTGACTATTTGATAAGCATGCATACTCTAGCTATATGTATATCCTACCTTGGGCACTTGAATGAGATTTATGCGATCGTTGGTTGTGAGCAATACGTTTTGTTTTGTATTATTCAACTTCCAACGCCCAGGAGGCTCAGTGAGATGAAGACTTAGCCGAAGTCATTATCATATCGTTAGTATTTCTTGACTGCTAGTGAAATGTCATCAGTAATAAACATCATACGCGCAAAATTATTCAGTGTTGTTATAGTAGTTGTCCGGAGTTGTTTAAGCCCTTTCCCGATGGACTAGTTCACCTGTACCAGGTACTTGCCTTATATCAAGCATCAAGTGACAGCTGATAGTGTCCGACATTACTTTAAGAACCGTTGGGGTCTGCCTAGTACCTCTTGTGTAGGGTAATGGTGTCGTTGTCTTCATGCATGGGGTTGCAGGTCCGATATGATGTTCCTGGCCTTGGAGCACTCAATTATCTGCTTACTGACATTCTGGGTGGAGGAGGTGAGTTTGGGGTGTAGCATAGTGTACAATATAGTTATACAATATAGTTATACAATATAGTTATACAACATAGTTATACAATATAGTTATACAATATAGTTATACAATATAGTTATACAATATAGTTATACAATATAGTTATACAATATAGTTATACAATATAGTTATACAATATAGTTATACAATATAGTTAAACAATATATGCCAGGACCCAACGTCAACCAAAATATCAGAGAGATTTAACTCATTATCATCACTGGTATGCAAACACCTACAGCTCAGCCCCGCTATGATACGCTGAGAATCGACAACAAGCAATACACGAAATACGCATCACAGACTTTCACACAATATATGGTATCAGTACATAGTATATTATACACGGGAGTTTCACGGTGAAACTTTCACCACCCTAGTGATATGAAAAACACCAGTGAAAGTATATTTCACGACTACTGCAAAACACCGCGAATATCGCGTTTTCACTGAGTATTACGCAACTTCACGTAAGACGGATTGTGAAACTCCAGTATGTTATTCAATACAGATGGAACAGGAAAAACCCTCATTCTGGGAATCCCAGAATGGTCCATGGTTTTATGCCCCCAACGAAAATGAATATGCCATTCAGTTTGCTATATACACATCTTCGCAGTGAATTACTTATAGTGACACGGGCTCGGGAAGATGTGTTCACCCTGCTCGCCTTGGCAGTGTTAGGGTTACCTTAATAACGCTATAAAGGGCTTGTGAAGGAGCTAGCACAGCAGTATCAAAGCAGTGATTCATATATAAATAATATAAAATTGCTATGGACTCCACCAGCCTAGGCCGTGTATTGGGCGAAACTGGGTGAGAATGGAAAATACTCGAAAACAGTCCGTGCTGGGGATCGAACCTGGGACCGTTACCTAGAATTCGGGCTCCTACTGATATTAACATATCGGCGACTTTAAACATAGATGATAGTTGATTTTGAGAAACATCGGTTTAGGCATGGCTTCGCTTCATGGGGACAATTTGGGAAAGACCTACGGGCAGATGCTCCTACAGATGCCGATATTGATGCCCTCAACAGCAGTAAGAAGGGGAGGCACTTGTGGTGATCATAACAGGCATTGTGTGATCAGTTGGATGCGGTCCGACCTAGCAACCTGCCTGAGCTGCAACACTACTCTGCTGACTGCATGGGGTTCTCAGGCCAGGGCTTTGATTTTGTTATTCATAGATCAAAACATGTTGCTGAGATTGTAACTGGGCGCGCGCGCTTTGCCCGGGGGGAGTAGGGAGAATGTTGGTAGATATTGAACCGCCCTAAAGAACACAACTCGTTGACCGATGAGATGATGGGGTCTTTGACGAGATGTGCTGACTTGCTTACGAACAATCTCGATGTCCGTCGCAGCGTAAGAGTATCTTAGGTTCTCCATGGTAAGATTCAATTTA